GTGACAAGCATTTAATTGCCTAGTATAAAATTCCTCCTTCCTCCATTCCTCATTGGCTGAACTCTAGAATGAACCATCTTCCCAGATGCCATCTAAGTTTTATTTTTCCGATTGGGCAATTTGAATGCATGCACTCCTTGGGATTGCTTGGGTCTTTAGAAGTCAGCTTTTTCTGTCTATATCCCTTGTTGTTCTCATGTAGAGGGGAAAGCTTTTCAGGGTATATGCTCTCCTGCACATGTACAGTCATTCTTCTCTCGTTATACAGGCTCACTGCTCGAAATTTTCTATTCAGTATAAAATGGTTTGTCTTGAAAATGGGGCCACTATTGACTTTATTTCTAACATAAGGGAGGTGATCAGTATTAATGGGAGAGGGTTCTTGAAGCATGTTAACAAGTACCTCTCAGAACAATCCTTGGTCACCATTCAGCAAGAAAATGAAATGGTGGGGGGGCTGGAGTGACAGCACAGTGGGTAGGGTGTTTGCCCTGTACGTGACTGACCTGGATTCGATTCCCAGAATCCCATATGGTCCCCTGAGCACCTCCAGGAGTAATTCCTGAGTGCAGAGCCAGGAGTAAACCCTGTGCATCACTGGATGTGACACAAAAATAAAGGAGGGGGAGGGGGAGGAGGAGGGGGTTTACAATATTACAACTTTTAGGAATTGAATTCTTCCAATAACCTAAATTAGCTAAACTAGCATGCTGAGTGAAGTTTGTCAGAAGGAGAAGGACAGCTGTAGCAGCATCTCCTCATATCTGAGATGTCTTGGAAGAAGCACAGTAAGGAAACAGCAAATGTCCAAGAGCATCAGAAGCTGAGAATTGTCCTATCCAATTGTATGAAGGCCAGACCCCACTCATTTAGTGACGTTCCTGTTTCACAAAACTCACTCTAACAACTTTGTGATTATCTGAGGTTTAAAAAAAATCATAAAGAAGGTAGAAAAGTCCAGTCTTAATTATTTTGGCCCAAAGATGATGTTTATCAGTTTTGTTCATAATCTACTAGCAAGCAATTGAAATAGTTACAAAAATGTTTGCATTTAAGAAATATTTACATGTTACCCCATGTAAATATAGTCATGCACCCATAAGTACTTCTCAAAATCAGACCTCATATGTGATAATTGCTCAAACAGACTAGTAGTAGTCTAGGTGTGTAGTAGTCTATCTGAATAGGTCTATGTCATTGCATGCTGTGATATTCACACAATGGTGAAATTGCCTAATCCCTCAGAACATTGCTTCATCACTAAGCTATGCAAGACCATATAAAAGGAATGGCAAATTACAAACTTCAATATAAAAGAAATGAGCAAGGAAATTGGTGAGTCTTAGAACTGTAGCTCTCCCAATAAAATAAGATAAAATCTATGAACGGGACACACATTTTTGCTCTCCGTGTTAGCAGTTCATATTCAACATGAATTTGCAAATAGGTAATTCCAATGACAATTACTGTATAATAAAGCAGTGAAACACCTATAGGCATAAGGCAACCAGTAGACTGAACTCATGGATTGTATCAGCTCCAAATTTAAGAAAAGGTGCAAAGTATTTGTATTTGCATTTCTGCTTTATAATACATGGAATCTCAGCTGGGGGTAGTGCAACCACTAGGAGCAAGCATCAGCTTGAGGAATCTTCATTCATATCATACAATTGATATAAACTGTCAGAAAACAAGAGACTGCTGATCTAAGTATCACACACAGCTTCTCATATAGGCTGTAGAGTCTCATATTCCTGAGGAGTCAGATATCTCTCATGGAAGCTCAGAATTACCACAAAAGTGAATACCCCTGTGGGTAGGTGGAAGCTATATAGCTCTTTAGGATCTAGCTTCTGTTATTTTTATGTATTGTTCTACCAGCTAAGAAGTCACAAGCTGACCCATATTCAAGGAAAGAAGACATAGACCTGCATGCCAAGAGCAGAAAATAAAGACCACATGGAAGATCAGCATGTGCAGTGGTAGATGCTGTGGTGACTGGTTTGGGAAAATAGGATATCCCATCGAGCTATCTTAGAATCTCTGAATATCAGTGTTTGAAAGACTGGGTACTTTATAGAACAGGAACCAGCAAACTATGCCCACTAGCTGTATTCCTAAATAAAGTTCTACTAAAAATCCAGCCATGCCTTTTTGCTTAGCAGAGTAACCTTTAGATGCAAGACAGACCATATGGTCTGAAAAGCTTAAAATCTTTGTTCTGGGGCTGGAGCGATAGCACAGCGGGTAGTGCCTTTGCCCTTGCACGCAGCCAACATGGCCGACACAGGTTCGATTCCCCGCATCCCATGTGGTCCCCCGAGCACCGCCAGGAGCAATTCCTGAGTGTATGAGTCAGGAGTAACCCCTGGGCATCGCCGGGTGTGACCCAAAAGCCAAAAAAAAATCTTTGTTCTACCTTCATTGACAAAGTTTGTAGATAAAATATTGATTTATAATATTAGTACTGGGGATACAGACCTTTCTTATAGAGCTGACCAGTACTATGACTTTGGGAAAGTTACTATCTCCCTAGATTGCCTTTCCCCACTTACGTTATTAGCAAAAGAATAAAATCTGTCATTGGAGCATTAAATGAAAAAGGGCATAGTGAACATTGATAAATGCTAGCTCGTGTTATTAGAATCACCCTAAAATATCTTCTAGCTTGAATGACTATCCAAAATGTTATGCTTGTCCCCAAAGTGTCATCGACTTACTATAGATTTCAATACATCTAGTGGCACAGGAGTCCTATACTTTATCTTTAGTCATTCTGTCTACTAGAAAATTTATTTTTTTTCTACTGAATTAAAATATCTCTCTGTGTCTCCATCCTACTAACCCTAGGACTATCCCCTAATATTCTTCTATAGAACTCTCTACCACATTTTGAGTTCTATCAAATATTTTAAATAAGCTTCACTGTACCTTATCAAGACTACATCTCTACATCCTACAATTATTTATTTTGACAGTTTGTATACCTTTCACACAGCCATTTTCTTAAGCAAAAAAAAATTTTTTTCTGGCAAATTCCAGAAATTGCCTAAGATTTCAGACATATAACACCCTTAATCCCTGACTGATCCATCTTATGTTGGTTATGTATGTTCTGTGTAACTAGGTTTCTTTCCAAACCATTCTGCACTAGAAGAGTTATTTTTTTAAGATCTTAGACTAGGACCTTATTTTTTTGTGTTTATTCTTACATTTTTGGCCTCTGAAATTTTTCTGGCAGTTTGTAATTGCAGTTTAGACTGTTCACTTCACTATCAACTTTATATCAACCAGACATACATCTATCATCTTGGTATAAACATTAATAAATATCTCACCGACTTGAAATTGGCACCATGAGTTTTTCTAAATTCATTAAAAGCAACTATTATTTTCATAATTAATTTGTGCTTCCATTTGCCCTAAAAATTATTTATTCACCAATCTCACTCCTCTTAGTGAAAGAAGAATTAGAAGCAAATATAAGTGAAGAGATAAACATTCCCTTTCTCTTTCACAATCACATTTTAAAACTAGCTGTGCATCTTTATTAGCCAGAATTCTCCAGAGAACCCGTCAAGAAAGAGAGACAGAGGGAGATAGACAGAGAGGTGGAGAAGAGAGATTAATTTCAAGGAGTTGGCTCAACATTATTGTGGGTAGCACTACAGCACTGTCCTCCGATTGTTCATCGATTTGCTTGAGTGGGCAGCAGTAACGTCTCCATTGTGAGACTTGTTACTGTTTTGGGCATATCAAATACGCTATGGGGAGCTTGCTGGGATCTACACTACAGGCAGGATACTCTTGGTAGCTTGCCAGGCTCTCCGAGAGGGACAAAGAAATCGAACCTGGGTGGTCGGCCGTGTGCAAGGCAAATGCCCTACCGCTCCACATAGCATGTGGGTAGCTTGATAAAGCCAAAATATTCAAGTTAGGCTAAAAACCAAAGGAAAAGATGCAATTCAAATGCCAAGGAGTCAGCTGGAAAAATTTCTTTTTGCCTTGCAAATGTCAGTCCTTGTTATTAAGACCCACATCTGACTGAATAATGATCATCTGCGTTGTTCAGGTTAATCTGCTACATCATAATTTCCACCAATTAAAATATCAGTCCCACCCAAAAACTAAAAAACTCAGAGCAATACAGAGCAATGTTTGACCAATATCTGGGCACCGTGGTATGACCAAGTCAAATACACAAAACCATCACAGTATCCGGCTCTTTTTAACTTTTTTCTTGCAATGAAAATAGTATCTATAAAGACTGGATTTATGTTTTAGTGATTAGTCACTTTATATTCGTCACTTATATTCTATAAGTCATGATTGAACAGGAGTCAGTTTGAGTAGGTGGCCATGGTAAAAGGGAGCCAATTAATTTGTGTTACTATATTTAAGCACAGAATCTTAACACATACCTTGATTTTTTTTTCCTAAGTCCACATCACTAACCAATTATTTCAGTGCCTAAGAAAAGATCAGAGTTGGGAAAAAATTATAATGAACCTATGATTTTTAAAACTCTCCTGAAAATTTCAGAATCTAGGCAAGAAAATATGGATGTAACTGGGTTTTTTATATTCATATTCTGTTCATCTATTTTAGGAATTCCATTTTTATATTTTAAATTTGAAATTGACATTGAAGTTCAAATGTACTTTCTTCAAATGATTTCACAAACTTTCCAGACCAAATCCCCATATAAATAAGATGTCTCAAGCGTTAAATCACAAGTCTCTGCAATATTCATGATAAAATTCTACTTAAAGTTTTTAAATGCCAGTGTTTTACAGAAATTTTACTTTAATGAATTAGTATCTAGATTCTATACAATTTTGCATCTAGGGGCTTTCTTAACTTTGATTTGTTTTCTTCGTTAACCATTCATAACAAGTATAAATTAGAGATTCGAAGTTTTTTATTCCACTGCTACTAATTCCTTTTTATATGAAATTTACTGTTCTCTTCTTTTGTACTTTTAAATGTCCCCTCTTTAGGTTTGGATGTGTGGAGGAGAAATGTTTGATGTGCCATGTTCTAGAGTTGGTCATATCTACAGGAAATACGTCCCTTATAAAGTTCCATCTGGGACCAGCTTGGCAAGAGTGAGTAACTGTGGATAAGATGGGCTTGAAATGGTGTCTGTGGGCACAGTAAGAAATCTCACACCTGGTATAATTTAGAGACAGTTTGAGGAAAGTTCTGATCAAAAATTTCCACCACTTGCTATTCCATTTTGGAAGTATGTAAGTAAATAATTTCTGTGTTACTCAAGATTTTAATTTCATAAGAAAATTCTTTTTGTAGTTTCCCTTTTTGGATTGGAAAAAAAACAAAATGCAACTGTGCTCAGGGCTTACCACGGCTCTATGTTCAGGTGGGGTCACTACTGGTAATACTCAGGGAACCATATGCAGTGCTGGAAGATCAAACCTAGGTCAGTTATATGCAAAGCTAGTACCTTAACTCTGTAAGGTCTCTCCAGCCCCATGAGGAAGTTTTGACTATTACAATAATCCTTGTTATTATTTATTTCAATGCATTTTCACAGACTTTATCTTCACCACATGAACTTGGTATTCTTACCTTGATTTTATATATGAGAAAATTGAGGGTTAGCAAGCTGGCTTGTTCTTTTTATTTTAATTTATCCTTTAATCTTTTTACAAAGCTGTCATGATTGGGTTTCAGTTATACAATGTTCCGACACTCATCCCTCCACCAGTGGAATTTTCCAGCACCAGTGCCTCCAGTTTCTCTCCCACCCCTCCAAGCTACCCACCCCTGCCTACCTCCATGGCAGGCACCTCTGTCCTCCTCTCTCTCTCTTCTCTCTCTCTCTCTCTCTCTCTCTCTCTCTCTCTCTCGCTCTCACTCTCTCTCTCTCTCATCTTAAGCATTATTGTTTCAGAAGGAGAGGGCCAAGTATATAATGACTGCGTTTATTTCTGGGATATATATTTTTTTAAAAAGTATCTGTCCTGTCTGTCCTGTCCTCCCGTTGTTCATTGATTTGCTCGAGCGGGCCCAGTAACATCTCCATTGGAGACTTTGTTGTTACTGTGTTTGGCATATCGAATACGTCACGGGTAGCTTGCCAGGCTCTGCTGTGCGGGCGAGATACTCTCGGCTGCTTGCCAAGCTCTCGGAGAGAGGCGGAGGAATCGAACTCGGGTCGGCTATGTTGACTGCGTGCAAGGCAAACGCCCTACCGCTGTGTTATCGCCCCAGCCCAGAATACCCAAGGCCAGGAAAAAATGGGCCAGGAGAACTGGTCAATGGCTGGAAAGCACCACAGGAGTGTGGGAGGTGGAGGGTAGTTAAGACAGGGAAGAGTCCATTATGAGACCATTAGCTGGAAATGATGACTCTGGACAGAAACTGAGTGTTGAAAGTAGGTAAAGAGATATTCCTGATAACCTTTCTGCATCTACACTGCAAAGCTGTCTTGTTCCTGTCCACATGCCAAGTGAATAGCAGAGGAGGAGTTTTCACTCAGGCCTTGGACACAGGCCTTCAGGACTTTGTTCCATAGAACACAGCAGGATTCATCAGCTGTCTGAGGAACAAAAGGGCAATGGAGGAAGTGGGATGCTTATCTCTAACTAGAGACAGCCCTGCCGTGTTTCTCCTTCCCAAAAACTCCAAAGCTGACCAAGTCCAAAATATGTTTTTTAGAGGGTTTTGAAAAAAAAATCTTGTCAGTGGACTAAATTCACAAATACTTTTCTGCATTTTAGAATGTTTCCATACCTGTTTCAGAGAACAGAGTTGCCAGATATCTAGCCAATTCTGACCACTTCTGGTTTTCATGTTCCTTACCTCAGAGCCAGGTTAGTTTTATCCACCACAATTATGTTCTGCTATTGTTCAGAAGACAAATTCAGAAAAAGGCTATTTTGTCACATTTCTTTGTTACATTCTTACCCAGAAATCTAATCCTGAATTATTAATCATTGTTTTTTTACCTATAGGCTGCAATATAAAACTATTGAGTCTTTTATACAAAATTTAATAGGCTCACTTAGCAGAATTTTTTTAAATGTAAGCTGGTTCATCAGGATTTATTAGAATATTAATGCCACAAAGAAAGAGATTTTTCTCATGTATTTGTTAGCCTACAATCAACATCTACAATAAGCAGTCAATAAATATTTGTCGAAAGAACTCAGGAAAAAACCTAGACAAGAAAATGATACAGGTCTTAGCTCTTCATAAAAATGTAAATATTGTAATAAGGCATAATAAAATTTATTTATAAGATGAATCTGTTTGGGAAAGAGAGCATTCTTCCTTATTCCCTTTCTAAGAGCATTTTCAAACAGTCCATTTTTCTTTAGGTACATCCATATTTTATTTCACGGAGTTAGACTTTAATGAAATTATCTTTGAAGGGAAATAGTTCTATTATTTCCTCCTCTTCAAAAAATTAAGCAGATATTAATAACATACTCCCATAAGTAATTGTAGAAATGATGCTGTTTGAGAAAAATAACCCATCACAAAATCGTAAGGTGGTTATAAAACTACATCTGGACTCAGAAATGATGATTTCACATAGTCATAGATCTATAAATCTGAAAATTCATTCAGGAACACAACAAAATTTCAGAAAAAGGTAAATGATGGAGCACACATCACAAATTAGCCATATGAATATCGTAAATATAGCAGCTTAAAATATTCCAAAGATAATGATGATCTGTCACTAGTCCTCACTCACTCATAAACTCCTACTCGGGTGCCCAAAACTAAAACATTCATTTACAAGATAAATATGTGTGTGTGTGTGTGTGTGTGTGTGTGTGGTGTGGCATGTGTGTGTGTGTTTAGTTTAGTGCCAAAGTGGAGTGTAAATTTGTGGTGGCATGAGGCCTTGTGTATGTTGTTCTGCTCCAAAAGGGTCCTGTCTTGAAAAATAATAAGATTATTTATATGTTTTCAAGGAATAAATCATTTCTAAGTCCTGTCAAATAGAGTAAAAGTAGGACTGGCATATAAAATTTCCAGCAAAAAGTGAGTGTTCATTCAAATAAAGAGGTTCACAATTCTGGATTTTAATCTTTTCTACTTAAGTTCTACTTGAGGGCTCTCCCACCACCCCCAAAACACAAGAGCAATCAGAAAGTTATAAATATTGAAGTTCAACTGTCACTCTCAGGAGGACTATATGATTTTTTAAAATAAAAAAGGATATTAAAATGAAAAACAATTTTGATGTTTCATAAGCAGATCTACACTACTTCCTACCCCCTACATTATTACTCTCTCATCAAAAATGATGAGTGTTTTGAAGACACTTCAGACGAAGAGCGCCTTTACTCAGTAGTAAATTTCTCCAGCCTCATTAGGAAATGAAAAGGAAGGCAGAAACTTGACTCCAAAGGCTAATTTTATTACTTTGCAAAGTTTGCTCAGTTCTTCAAAGATATACATTATTTATTTATGAAACTATGTAAACTGAGAATTTCAGCAGGCTTCTGGAAAACACATAAATTTCTATAACACAGAAAAATACATGAACAGGCTCCAGAGCCCTAGAGCCACTGGTTTTTCTGCCAACAAGTGCTGGTCATTAACTGTTGAATGGTTGGAAACCACTGTCCTATCAGTGCATTGGCGTGTATTCTAGAACTCAATTCAAATAATTACTGCGTCCCGAGTGTACCAGTATTACAGTCAGGTTGGAAGATTCAGGAGCTATTCTTATATGAAGCCAAAACAAGACAACAAAGAACTTTTTCAAAGTATTATAGAGATGGATATGTGTGGAAGAGACTCTTCAGATTATGGTCTCCTTCCAACCTTGCTTCCTTCCTGTGGTCCTCCCCACTCCCCAAACCCCACCCTCTCTCCTACCAACTGCTTTTGTAGTCTTCCACCCTGACCCCCTCTTCATGCAATTTTCACCTATGGTTCCCTTTGAATATTCTAGACTAGGCATGTTATTCTAGGAGAGCCTGGCAAGCTACCAAGAGTATCCCACCCGCACGGCAGAGCCTGGCAAGCTACCCATGGCATATTCAATATGCCAAAAACAGTAACAATAGCCGGCCTCATTCCCCTGACCCTGAAAGAGCCTCTAATATGGCAGCATAGGGAAAGACGAGTAAAGGAGAGGTTACTAAAATCTCAGGGCTGGGACGAAAGGAGACGTTACTGGCACCTGCTCAAGTAAATCAATGATCAATGGGATGACAGTGATATTGTGATTCTAGGCATCCGCTGGGGGCATTTGGCTTCCAGTTGAGAAATTCTGAAATAGAGGAAAGCAGGAGAAATGGGATTCACAGCTTTGGAACTGAGAGCCTGACGGATGCTTCAATTTAGTGAGCAATGTTCAGAGAAAAGCAGTTCCCCAATTCAGGCCCAATGGCCAGAGCCAGCCTGGCATTCCACCTCAGGGAATAGAGTGAAATAAGAATCACAAAGCTGAATTTATTTCATTTTATAACTTTTTTTATAAATGAGGTAGTTATAGGCTTTTTCTTTTATAGCAGGACATAAGAGAATTGATCTGTACTGATGCTTTTGTTTGGCAAATATAAAAATGAGGGATTGGAGAGATTGTACAGCAGGTAAGGCACTTGCCTTACATGCAGCCAACCCACAGATTTGATCCTGGGCACCTCACATGGTCCAGCATGAGTTCCACCAGGAGGGTTGAGAGCCAGGTGTAAGCCCTTACCCTTGCTGTGTGTGCAATGCAAAAACTAAAAATTTAAAAATTTAAATTGTTTTAAACGAATATTTCTATGTCAGTCCCCACAAAACCCAGAGATCTGGGATCCAGTGACTTTACATCTACGCTTCACCTGGGCTTCATCCCTCATCCATAAAGCAAGATAACTGTGTTCAGTGGGCTCAGGAACCTTCGCTGCTGTCTGCTCACAGGAAGGGTGCCCATCCCAAGTTTCAGAGGTATACTAGAAAGTTCTCAGCACTGTAATGCCCATCTATGGGATGACATTCCCCATCCTTGGTCACAAAACCTGTTGTGAAGTAAGGCTTGACATAGGAAGTTGGGACAGTATGAGTGGTAGAAGACTCCCCCCAGGCACTCAGATTCCGGTAGGCTGTCAGATGAGCCAAGCACTCTGCCTAG